AACTCTTGGGCTTAAGCGATTCTCTTGCCTCAGCTTCCCAAGTAGCTGGGACTACAGGCACCTGCCACAACGCCTGGCTGTTTTTTTTCTGTTGCAGTTGTCCTTGTTGTTTTTAGTTGGCCTGGGTCAGGTTAGAACCCACCACCCTTGGTGTATGTGGCCAGCGCCCTGCCGACTGAGCTACGGGCACTGCCCTGTATACTCCTATTTTTGATTGTGTTTAGTCCTTGGTATTTTGAGAGCATGTCATAATCCTTCCATCAGCGTCCAGGGAAAGCTCCCTATGGAACTTTTTTTCTTCTCATATTCCATCATCATAGTAGCAGTTAGTCTCAGTATTCTAATGATGATAGTCTGAGAGAGATTTCCTTGGAATGACTCTGCTGGCTACTGTTAGAGAGTTGGTGAGGATGAGTGGAGTTGAAAAATGTGAAGAGAACTGCTTCCTGTTTGCTTCAATAGGAGGTATGTGATTAGGTAATTGATACTCCTAAGAAGAGGATTGTCCTGGTCCAGTTCAAAGACTGGAGTTGCACTTTTTTGTCTCCCCAGAGATGTCTAGGGCTATGCATACCCCTGTTTTTCTCCCTTTTAATTTTTTTCCCCTACCATTATGTGAAAAGGACTTAGCCACTCTGGTAAAATATTAAAGGCAGAAGAAAAGACGGAAATGGATTCAGGGGCTTTATAGACAGAGAACAGTCTAATGCTGAAAATGTAAGAGATCTTTTCTGGCAATGATGAGGTAGTTTGTTAGATTTCTGAATATGACTTAAGTAACACAAATGAACAGATTTTTCCCCATTTCCCTACCCAAGTGTAGGTAGCTCCAACATAACTAATTTGTCTTGCCAATTGCTGGTCAAATTTTGTAAACCTAGAAATCTACAGTTATAGAAGTTGTTTTCTTCACTAATACTAGTATTTGGATATGTAATTTTTTTTTTTTGAGACAGTCTCACTATGTCGTCCTTGGTAGAGTGCTATGACATCACAGCTCACAGCAACCTCCAACTTGTAGCTTAAGTGATTCTTTTTTTTCGAGACAGAGTTTCACTTATTAACCCTGGATAGAGTGCCGTGGTGTCACACAGCTCACAGCAACCTCCAACTCCTTGGGCTTAGGCGATTCTTTTGCCTCAGCCTCCCAAGTAGCTGGAACTACAGGTGCTTGCCACAGTGCGGGGCTATTTTTTGGCTGTAGTTGTCATTGTTTGGCAGGCTCGGGCTGGGTTTGAACCTGCCAGCTCTGGTATACGTGGCTGGCGTCCTAGCTGCTGAGCTACAGGTGCCGAGCCTTTGTTTTTTGTTTTTTTTTTTCCTTTCTGAGACAGAGTTTCACTTTGTCACCTTCGTTAGAGTGCTGTGATGTCATAGCTGACGGAAACCTCAAACTCTTGGACTCAAACGATTCTCTTGCCTTAGTCTCCCAAGTAGATGGGGCTACAGGCACCTGCCACAACACCTGGCTATTTTTAGAGATGGGGTTTCGCTCTTGGTTAGGCTGTTCTTGAACTAGTGAGCTCAAACAATCCATCTGCTTCAGTCTCCCAGTGGATGTGTAATTCTTGCTTGAGTTTTCTGTTACTTAACCAGAATGACAGTCCTTTCCCTTTATTTTCTACCTTTTCCTCCCCAACCCTGTCCCCCAAATAACAGAAAACATGAAGGAATTAAAGGAGCCTAGGCAGCGCAAAGACAACAGGCGCCCGGATCTGGAAATCTATAAGCCTGGCCTTTCTCGACTAAGGAACAAATCTAAAATCAAAGAGCCCTCTCTGAGTGAGGAATTTAAGGATGAAGTTGTTAATGACAGAGATTCTTCTGCTGTTGGAAATGATACACAACTCATTAAAGATGCCTGCAAGGAGCTGGACAACCAACAGCAGAATGGGCCTATAAACCCAGAAAACAATCATGGACAGGAGTCCTTCTCTAAGATTGCTGGTCAAGAGGATCGAAGTCTAAGAATTATCAAGAGAACAAAGAAACCGGACCTGCAGATCTATCAGCCTGGACGCCGTTTGCAGACAGTTAACAAAGAATCGGCTAGTCGGGTAGATGAGGAAGAAATCCTTAACCAGGTAGAACAACTAAGAGTAGAGGAAGATGAATGCAGGGGAAATGCTATGAAAGAAGAAGTCATGAATAAACCAGACAGAGCAGACAGAGAAAAGAGCCCAAATGGTGACAGAGTAAGGGCTGGAAAGGGAGAAAAAGGAAAGAGGATTGAAAAAGGGGAGGGGATGAAGAAAGCAAATGATGACCCAGCCCAGGGGAAACCCGGTTCTGCAAAGCGATACTCCCGCTCAGACAAACGAAGGAACCGTTACCGCACTTGCAGTACTAGCTCAGCTGGTAGCAACAACAGTGCTGAGGGAGCTAGCCTTGTCGATAATGGATGCCGCCGTCGCCGACAGGATAGGACCAAGGAGAGGCCACGACTGAAGAAGCAGGTATCTATGTCCTCAACTGACTCCTTAGATGAGGACAGAATTGATGAGCCCAATGGATTAGGACCCAGGAGGAGCTCAGAAAGGAAGAAACATTTAGAAAGAAACTGGTCTGGCCGTGGGGATGGTGAACAGAAAAGCAATGGTAAAGAAAATCGAGGCACTCTTCGTGTCACTTTTGATGCAGAAACCATGAACAAAGATTCTCCCATGGTAAGGTCCGCCAGGGAGGATGTGGATAGGATAAAGCCTGACAGAGGCTCAAGCACTGGGGGCAAAGGCTCTGAGAAACAGGAATGCAAAAACCTAAAACAAGAACTTCGGGGTCGTGGTCGTGGCATTCTGGTTCTGCCTGCCCATACCTCCCTATCTGTCAATTCAACAGGTTCTCCAGAGTCTGCACCTTTGGGACCTCGGCTTTTGTTTGGATCTGGTAGTAAGGGATCTCGGAGTTGGGGCCGTGGAGGCACCACCCGCCGATTGTGGGACCCAAACAATCCTGATCAGAAACCTGCTCTAAAGAGTCAGGTACCCCAGCTACATTTCTTGGACACTGATGATGAAGTCAGCCCTACATCTTGGGGTGACTCACGCCAGGCCCAAGCATCTTACTATAAGTTTCAAAACTCTGACAATCCCTATTATTACCCCCGGACACCACCAGGCCCTGCTTCTCAGTATCCCTATACAGGTTATAACCCTCTACAGTACCCAGTGGGTCCTACCAATGGTGTGTACCCGGGGCCTTATTATCCAGGCTACCCAACTCCATCAGGACAGTATGTTTGTAGCCCTCTCCCTGCCAGCACCATGAGTCCTGAGGAGATAGAGCAGCATGTGAGGAACTTGCAGCAACAGGAGCTACATAGGCTTCTCCGGGTGGCTGACAACCAGGAACTGCAGCTCAGCAATCTGCTTTCCAGGGATCGAATTAGTCCTGAGGGCCTGGAGAAGATGGCTCAACTCAGGTATTTTGTGTTCTATTCTGGCTAGGGGGGAATGGGGATAAGCTGGAAATGTATAGATGCTGATGACTGAGGAAGGTAGATAACTCTAGCTGAGCCACTGGGTGTTATCTTCCTTTTACATTGATTTTTATAAGGAAAGGGGAGTTGGAAAAAGAGCAGAAGTTTCATTTCCAGTCTTAGAAATGGCTATACTTCCTGCTTTTTCTTTAAGAAAAAAAAAATCTATCTTTGAGGGAACATGGAATCTCAAAATGGAAAAGAAAAAGACTTTCTTGGGAGGTGCCTGTGGCTCAGTGAGTAGGGCGCCGGCCCCATATACCGAGGGTGGCGGGTTCAAACCCAGCCCTGGCCAAACTGCAACAAAAAATAGCCGGGCGTTGTGGCGGGCGCCTGTAGTCCCAGCTACTTG